GGAGGCCCGAGTGGTGCGGACGCAGGGCGCGGAGGTGCCGCCCTGCCCCCAGACCCGGCATGTTGCCCTGGTACCCCCGGCGGTGGAGCGAGGGCGAGGAGCAGGCGCCCGAGGAACAAGGCCTTTCGGCAGGCAGCGACCCTGGCGAGGCCTGGGACTCTGGAGAGGAATCCCTGGGGGAGCCGGGAACACCCCCACAGAACAGGTGAGGGGCTCCACCAGCAGCGCTTGGGGGAAATCCTACTGGGGGCCCATAGTGTGAGAAAATCTCTGTTGTTCCTACCGAAGAATGGGTACGATCAGTCTCCCCGTACTGGGCACCCTTGGCCCTGCCTTGGAAATATTCAGACTCAGAGCGGGGAGGTGACTGGGGGAGGCTGTGAGCATCAGTACTGCCCCCTCCCAGTCCTCAGCTCAGGTCCCGAAGGCCTTCCTGGACCCAGCAAGAACAGCTGCTGTCATGGCCTCCCCCAGGCTTGGCTGCCCAGCAACCCCCTGGAACCACAGGTAGGTACAGAGTGCTGCCACCTTTACCCCCAAGACCCTATTACCAACTCCTGAATCTGTTTTAATCACTTAAAGTTTTCCCCCCAGTTCCTGTCTCCCCACAAATGACCTGGGAGTTGGCTCCACCAAGGATGACCCTGCTGGCACCATGGGACCCCAACTATGAGGCTAAAGCAGGACCTCACCTAGTGTGGGTGAGTTGGGGGTACCTGTGGCTCCTGCCTCTGGTGGGGCAGGGATGCCTTGAGAGGGGGCTGAAACTTCGGGAATCTTTCCTGACCCTCCATAGGGGCCCAGCTGTGCGTCTGGAGCCTCCTTCTCAGGCCGGACCCTGTGTCATCCTTCATTCTGGCCGCTGTATGAGGCAGCTTCAAGCAGGGGCCTCAGGCCTGGTCTAGCAGGACATCAGAGTGGAGAGCAGGTGCCCAGGGATGCAGGTACTGCCCTCCGTCCCCTCAGGCTCAGGAGTGAGGCTGCATGAACTCTGCGGAGGGACCAGTGCAGAGCTTGCCACCGTACCCACGTCTCCACAGGGCTCCCAGTGATGTGCTGTGAAGATGTCTTTCTTTCAGACCCACTGCTGCCTTGTGGGCAGCGTGTTCCCCTGTACCTGTCTGAGGCCTCTCACCAGGTGAGCGCTCTTTCTGCCCTGGCCTCACCCCAGCCGTCACTCAGGCATTGGGAGGAGACACTTGACCCTTCTCTCTCCTCAGGTCATGGGCTGTCTGAAGCTGCTGCTCCCACCCCCGATCATGTCCCCCTGGGTCCTCCCCACTCCATCCTCTGGCTGCTGCACCACCTGGCTCAGTGGGCCTGAGCTGATAGCCCTCACCGGCCTCCTGCAGATGAGCCAGGGAGAGCCGAGACCCAGCTCATCCAAGGCTCCCACGCCCCCTGCTGGCCCCCTAGCCCCTATCTTTGACCACCCAGGCACCAGTGGTGGCTGGAGCTGTTCTCACTGCACTGACCCATCTCTCCCAGGGGCCTCAGACACCCATTGTCCATAGCCTCTCTGGAGGCAGGATGGGCCCCCTTACTTTCCTAGGCAGTTCTGTTGACAATAAAAGTGTTGGTTTGCAAACCGGCTCCTTGTGACAGCAGAGTGAGGCATGAAGGCAGAGATGGGGTTTCTTCCTCCACCACGGCTTTGGCTGTCTCCCCTCAAATTCTTGTTACTCATTGGCTACTCTGTACAGTGGGGCAGGGGAGTCCATAGCCCTAAGACCTTTCTAGGCTGATCGAGCAGGGAACCTTTAATGGGGCGGGAGCGTACTTAGTCCCTTTGACTCAGCATGTAGAAAGCAAGGACTCTCGTCAGTTCTGCCAGCTCAGGGAGAAGGGAGGATTGTGTGAGCACATAGCTGGCATTGGGAGAGGCGAACTACGGAGTTAGGGGTGTCACATCACTTTTAGGGGGCACCAGCATAAGATACCTGGTACTGTCAACCCTCTTGTGCTGGGGCCCAGGTGTTCAGCCCTGGGACAGGGCTGGGCTTAGTTCTTTGGCTCTGAGGAGATGCCAAGCAGGCACTGCAGGGGAGGTGGGGAGGAGTGGATCCATGTCTTCATCGTTAGAGGCAAGGTTGGGGGCCGAGGCTGACCTGAGCTTCTGGAGTGATGTTGCAGGAACTCTGTGAGGAAACAGAATCAGAGCTTTGACTGAGAAAGAAATTTGTAGGTTGGTTTGTTGGGGGAGGTGGAGAGTTCTAGGATTTTATCCTGTAAAAGAATCCAACTTCCTGGTGAATCTTCTCCCGAAGATTTCCCAGGCGCCACAGCTGGAAGGGGCAGAGTAGGTGGCAGGGCCCTAAGGGGCAGCTCGATGCCTCTGCCTGTCATGTCCTAAGGGACATCTGGGTTTTAGAGCCTCTCCGTCTTGGGGAAGGGTTTCTGGGGTTGAGGGGCGGCGGGAAGGCATTGTTAACTTTGCCCTATTTTTTCTCTCTCCATCCCTTCTGTCGCTCAGCTAGGCCTGGCAGGGTTGCTGGGGTCTCCTCACCCGGGCTTCCCTGAGGTTCTGGAACTTGATGCGTGCATAGCTGTGCGGGTGCTGCCTGGTCTCGGGGGCGTCGCCTCGCGCCTCCAGTGGAGGGACCAGGTCCAGGTCAACGTAGTTGAGGCTGCCGTCAGGGAGGTCGGGTATGGCAGTGCGCATTCCTAAGTGCTCAATGCACACGTACTCCCCGGCTAACTGTGACGGTGGCCGCAAGCATGGCTGAGCCCCGGCTGGTCCCCAGCTGTCTTCGATGCCAAGACAAGGGCCTTGGAGCCCAGACCCAGGTGCCCCGGCCCTGTAGGAATGGGGAATGGGGCTTAAGGAAAAGGGCTGTGGTGCACAGTGGCTCATGGACACGTATTCCGTGCTTCCCACATCCTGAAGCAGCCAGTGGGGAGAGGCTCTGGAAGAGGCAAGAAGGCCCCGGGGCGCCATCACCATATAGCCGCTGGCTTGGCCACCCTCCATGGGCTCGTAGTCACTCCCTGCTCCCATGGTTATGTAGCCCCCTCCCTGCTCCAACCCCTCGGGGTATGAGGCTGCTGCCCCCAGCCTCGCCAGGGTCTTAAGGGTTCCTTGCTGGCTTCTTGCACCCAGGCACCCCCAACGGTTCGGGCCACTTGATTGGGCCGCAGAGGCGGGGGTCTCAAAAGACTGGGGGAAAGAGGGTCTGGAGGCGCTCATCAGGGGCTTTCTTGGCAGTGGCTCGGCCCTGCCACCGACACCACTGTCCCCAATTCGTTTCATGGCAGCCAGGACTGTCTCGTGAATGCTTTGGGCCACCACGGCATCGGGAGCCTGTAGCCACAGCTCCCCAGAACCTGTGGGTGCCGAGCGGCCGAGTTCCAGGAAGAAGAAAGAGTCTGCGTGGCCGCAGCGGCGCACACTGAGTAGGGACAGGCACAGGGCCAGCGGCGGAGATGCCTCGGTGGCCTCGGAGCCTCTGCCCGCGGGCTTCCGCATCAGGCTCAGTACCCCGGAACCCAGACACAGGCGGTAGCTGCCGCTGCCCAGGCCTCGTGTCCGCCCCAGCCCCTTGGGCCTCAGCGTCACGGGCCAGATGTCCTGAAACGGAGCGAGGATCCCGGCCTCGGGGTCTTCGTGGGAGCTGGGACCTAGAGAGACAATGGGCAGGTCATGGGGGATCCCGGGCCTGGAGGTTGTAGTCACTGTGCCCCGGGGACTGCAAACAAGAAAACGGCTCATGTTTGGGCTTGGTTTGGGAGACCTGGGGCAGGGACAGCCCACGAATAAACCAAATCCACGATCATCCGACCCTCCCGCCCCAGCCACATCTTGGGCGGTCTAGGGCTCGGGCCTCACCGGCGGCGGCGCGCGCCTCGAGCAGGGCGCTGTACCACGCTTGTTGCTCCGCCTCGCTGGCCGCCGCCACGCCCAGACTGCAGTCGCGGGTGTACAGGACGATC